AAAATTCAAACACCCCGCCATTTTGCTTTCTAGGATCATTCTACGTCTACGAACGGGCATTGTTTCATCGTAATTTCCTGGCACGAAATTCAAATATTTCGCAAAATTTATTATTTTAAGCATAAAATAATACTTTTTCATTTAACATTCAAAATTAATATTAGAGATATTAAAAAATTCTCAGAGAGATGCTCCTATTTTCACGTTGATGTGGAAATACAGAACAATTTAGCAGTAGAAAAATTAAAAGTAGAACAGGTTGATTTCCTCAAACAACACGAGGAAAAAATACGAATGTATGCCACGCCACGTCACACATTGAAGACAAATTGTCCAATAAAACTGTCTAATAAATCATATCTTTGAACAGTCCTATGTAAACTGTTATATCTTTGAACTGTCCCATAAACTGTCGTATCTTTATAAACAATAAAATATATATTTTTAAAAGTATTTTTTTTTAAACCTTAAAGTAGGAAACTCTTATTTAGTACTCTAAGATTTTTTTTATATATGTAGATAGCTATAAGAAAAATTGCGGATCGATTTCAAGAAAGAGAATTGATCTGTCCGCATATTTCACAACTTAATTGTTCCTTTTTGGTCTTGTCAACGGTTTTTCATTGTGACACGTTCAATGACGAGCCGCTATGACAATCTATATGCAAGTAATAAAAATAAAAATGTTATGTAAAATATACTTGAGAATATGAAGATTAAAATTTATGATAATTCATGTCTGCAGTTGAGCATGATCTTATTATCGTCAGTCGAATTAAATAACGATATCGATTTCGAAGATCTCCTTTCCGCAGATTAATTTTTCGGAGTACAGCGGAAATTATCACAAACTGCTTGAAAATAATCCTGCTTAAAAATACATAATCCTGTTTTGCGTTAAAAAATATCAGATATTCTCCCATATTATAAATGATATCGAATTTACGTGCGTTTCGTCATATAAAATATCGAGGATATTCGAGTTCATTGCATGGGATATGTTAAGGACGAATGAATAGTTTTGCACAAAAAAATTTGTGTACTTACGCAACGAAGGTCAAGGATGCCGCGAAAGGAGGGAGGGATCATCGACTCACCGATTGGTCAATGTGCTCCCATTTTTCCCCGACATAGTCCCAGACTTGTTCGGTCATTGTTCGCGAAAAAAACAGATGAAGAAACGGTAAAAATACGATAACGAGATACAATAAATATCGATGGAGGTCGTGATTAGTGGCAAGCAATCACGACACTCTCGGGATCACTGTGGGCTTACATCATTTGCGCCGATATTCGCGGCTGCAAATATAGCCAATCTTCAAATATGTATGTATCTCTTGTTCCTGTGTGTGACTCTGTAGGTACGCTTTGACTGCATGCGTGATTTTCGCGGAGTATTTTGGGCGAGTCAATGTACAGATGGAACCAAGTATCTTGCGTGATAGTGTTCACACATACTCTATTCTAATTGGGTTGTTCGCAACTGCTTCGAGGCGCGAAAACGACATGACGAAATGAATATTAATAAAAGATTAATGAATATTTACAAAAGATAAATCCACAAACATGGCTCATATAATTCTGACGCCGTCTTTACCGGTCTGAAGATCATGCGTTCTGATTCATACATTCCAAAACTCAAGTATGCAATAGGAACAAAGGTCTTAGTTCAAGAATGCAACAAATCGCTTCAAAAATAATCTAGAGATTCATCTCCAAGTCTAGTAAATGAAGAACGGAAGTTTACCTTAGCTTTTTAATATATGCACTCATGAATATTCTGAATTAATCTGATATTCGGATCTCACTTTGCGAAGTCCGAAAATTGACGTTCTAAAAATTTGAGACCGATCTAAACCGAGCTGTCTTCGAATTTTCAAAATGAATGTAAAATGAATATTATATGAATTAATTTTAAAATGAATATTTAAAAGATATACACATTTATGCATATTTTAAGGTGCGGTCGAATTGCCGCTTCGAAGCATTTTTTGATCAATTAGTAAAATTCTTCCTTCCGATTGATCAATCAAATGCTTCGAAGCACTCGTAGCGGCAACTCGACCGCACTCTAAAGGTTCGCCTACAATGGACAATAGCGGTAGTGGTAAAGCTGTAATGCATGGTCTACAATGGGCAGTAGCAGTAGTGGATTAAGGAGTAGGCGTAGAAACCGATCAATCATAATTGAATGTCAGAAAAATAATCAACTTGGTTTGGTCGACCATGCATAAGACATAGACGCGAGTCATAAGTCACAAGTTTGTTGCATTATACCCGATTTATACTTCAGTCTAATCCTGAAATCCTAAAATTCAGCCAATGAAATACAGATTTCAGTTAGGACCAATTAGAACTGACAGTCCTATTGGCTGAATTTTAGGATATTAGGATTAAGATTGAAGCATAAACCAAACATTAGCTAATCCGATGCATCAATTTTAAAAGTGACACTTTGAGATTGATGACGTGACAAGTTTGCGACTCGCGTTTTACGTCTTAAGCCCGATTTACATAAGATGCAGAACGCGGATCGCACGTAAAATTAGAAACTAACCTAATGTATTTTAATTATAATATGGTTGTTGAACGCAGAAAGTTGAACTTCAACTTTCGCGTCCTGCGTCTTGCGTCCTACGTATTGCAGTCTGCGACTTATTAAGCCTATTCTACAATAATCATAAACGTAGTTGTAAGTGGTAGTTGTAAGAATTGATCAATCAAATCGAATGTGAGGAGAATCTTTGACTGTGATTAGTCAATTCTTACAACTACAACCACTTACAACTACGCTTACTATTATAGAATAGGCTTTACAATCTGAAATACGTTTCACTTACGATCTACGACCTGCGTTCTGCATCTTATGTAGATCGAGCTTCAGCCAATCTTGAAGCGTCACTTTTAAAATTGAAGCATCGGATTGGCTGACACAACAAACTTGCAATCTGTAACTCACGTCTTATATAGATCATACTTAAAGGTGCCTTTTTATGCTAACGCTTGAAACTCATTTTCGGCGTCAAAATAAGTCACGTAATAGAAATTGACGAATATCAAGCATCAATTTGATCACATGACGTAGGGAGCGTTTATATTGGCCATATAACTGTAAACCGTAATTGGTCAATTTTTACAGATTACGGCATATGGTTATGGCCAATATAAACGCTTCCTTAGACTGAGAAATACGATTTCGGTCAGATGGGAATGTTCATATATTACTGTCAGTTGACTGCCAATACTGGATATCAATCATAAAACTTTTTTCCTAGGATGAAAAGTGAAAAATTTCTCCATTAACTTCAAGTTATAATTTTCACTTTTCACTTTTCATTTTAGAAATAAAGTTTCATGATTGATAGAACCCTTCATAGAACTTAAATTACTAGAAGGGGACGTTGAACAAGGTCTAAAGGATAGAAATATTTTTCTATCCTCTTCTATCTTCTTTTGACACATGCTCAGAAAGAAGAAAAATTATCGAGCAGGATAGAAATACATCTTCTGTTTCTCAGATCTTGCCCACTTTTCACTTATTGTTTGAATAGGCCATTCCCCCTCTAATAAGTTTTCTATGCAGTATTGAAAATCTATAGTTCCCGTTACGTATACTATACGTATACTATACGTATTGACAACTGGCAGTAATATACAAATACATTGAAACAAGACTATTGCCACTGAATTATATATTATATACTGGAAATGGGTATCGAAGAAAATTTGTAGCCGCAATTGATCAGCCGCCATTTTAGTTGGGACGATATTTGAACGAATCAGAAACGTTCGTGCGCGCGCTGTGATCGATGTATCGATCGATGTACTATCGATGTATGGAAATTTATATGGATATGAATGGTATGTAAACAAAAATAATGTCACTTCAATTTTATTAGTACATTCAATAAAATAACATTAATAACACTTTTCATCGTTAACATAAGTGCAGGAATTGATACATTTAATACAAAAATTCTTACCTATGAAATGAAATGCCCTTTTTACTTCTCTGCCCACACCCAAGCACACACTTCATATTAATGCTTTGCATCTACAGTTACGCGATCTTATAATCTTCCAAAGTAATCTTTCAAATATAATCCAACACACGATAAAATCTTGCTGACATATGCGTCTCACTAAAGAACACTAAACGTAAATGCGCATGAGTACCTGAAAGTTTCTAATTCGTTCTTATATTGACCAAATTAAAATGGCGCTAATCAATTGGTGCCACGATTTTCTATGCTTCAGCGAAGATGCCCATTTTAGTGTATATATAATTCAGTAACTATTGCGTTTCCTTACTTCGAAAGTGACAAAACTTATAAAATTTTTTAAATTATTACTATGAATGAGCAAATATATATAAAAATGACTCTATCAATCATTGAAAGTAAACTAACTTAATAACTTAACAGTTAGTTCATCAAATAGCACTTGCAGCGTCATTCTTAAGATTAAAAAAAAACACTTTATAATAATCGTAACACTTTACAAAAGTGAATTGTGTTGTTCTTGTAAATAAAAAGAGAATTTTCTAAAAATATTTAGGGTTAAGTTGTTGTGCTCCAAGTTTGTAAAAAAAGTTTTATTTTGAATTTAGACATTTGAATCGATCAAGATAAATATAAATTAATTGTTGATGATATTTCGAATTATGTCACTTTTGATGAATTATTCTGAATTCATTATATTTTGTAGGATATCAAAATCGATCACGATTTAGAAAGGATGGCTTTTAAAGATTGTCAAACATTGTTGATAAAAAATGACATTTGATTTTGTTTCTAAATATATTCTTTTTGCTAATATTATTTGATTAGTTAATAGTTTTCTGTTAAGTTGAAATATACAACTTTCCTGTTAAATTGAAATAGTTTTTCTCTTTTTTGAAAAATTTAATTCTTTGAGTTGTGTCATTTTTTAAAATAAAGGAACGCGATTGATCTGCAATTGTTTGTACTTTTAAAAGATTCTTTGTTTGATTCAAGGCATTGTTTTCGTTTCTTCAAGTTTATTTAGACACTCCATTATAATTTCCACATATAATATCCTCAATTTGTTTGACTCGTATCTCTGTGAGGCTCTTCATAGTTTTTAAATTTTGATACCTTCTGCGAAGCCGATTATTGCATTTGTTAAATCAAAGTTGCTCTATTTTGAATTTTGTTCGACCATGCAATTCGAGTCTTGAGTCTCATCGAGCCCTAATCACTCGCAGACCAACACGAAGTCAGGATGGCCGAGCGGTCTAAGGCGCTGCGTTCAGGTCGCAGTCCACTTCTGTGGGCGTGGGTTCGAATCCCACTTCTGACAATTCTTTTTTTTTACCTGGAAAATTATGAGATATCACAATGATTTAACTGGAGGACAATTTGTACTTAAATATACATTTTATATTAAAGTTATGCGTGTATTAAATTCTATATATATATAAAATATTCTCAGTATTCTAAATGCAACGTTGCACTTTGCAGATTGACGCATGCACGGCAGACGGCTAACCACGGCTAACGTCAGAGCTGACTGTCGTCAACATGGCGGACGGCGACTTGCTCGTCACTATTTCGGGCGCGGCGCTTTCGTTGCTGTTCTACGAAAATGTACGCAGTGTCGGCAAGCAGGTAAAACGAATTATGTATCGATTTGTTAATAAAGTTTCGTAACTTTCTGTTGCGCAGAAATGTTGTCTCCGAAAGGCAGACTTGCTTCTACTGTCGTATAACCTCTGCATATACGCTTGCCAACAATGAGTAATGACGTTTCGTAATTCTTGCAGATGGGCTTCCTCCTTGGCGAAGCGCTCGAATTCATCGTTAAGACCTATACCGACTCCGACAATCAAGTGGAAACCATCAAGATTCACATTAGTGAGTACAGTCGCCTCGATAATCCACATCTTTCATTCTTTTCGTGTAAACAACAAAAAAAAGAATCGAGTGCAGAAAGTGCATTTCGAACGACGACACAGCCATTGGAGCAAGTGTAGATAAAAAGAGCGTATTCCGAACGTTTAAAATGTTGGGTCATCTAAAAAGTATTCGCGGTTTTTTGTCACTAGATGTGTGTTGATGGTCATATATCTAGTGACAAAGTACCGCGGATACTTTTTAGATGACCCAATACTTTTTATCTCAAAAGTCAATGAAAAAAAATATTTGCTGCCTTTTTGTGCGTAAAGCCAGATTTAAAACAATTTAAGATTCTCCTGTTGAAGTAAAAACAGTAAAGTATTTAAAGTGGGACATTATTTTTTATTTTAAAGTCAAGAAATCTGATGAATGAAACTTGTCGGATGCATTAAAGACTGAGAAATAGAGATTAGAATTCCAGGAATAAGATAATTTTAATTTCAGTTTGCTTCATCCTGATTGGTTGTATTCTAATCTTTATAGTCTGATATAAGCTTAAAGATGCATTGTATTATAATTACAGTATATCTTTGAATCAATAATAACAATTTAAATGAATTTATAGTAAATACAAAAATTCTTAACTACATTACAAGAGAGTTTTGAAGTTATACAAACCTTTAACTTTATCAAAATGAATTTATCCTGTACGAAAATTAAAATAGAAGACTAGCATGTATTTCTGCACAAAAGGAATATAATTATTTAATAAAAATTATATGTATAAATAGAACAAATAATAACATTCATAATGCTTTATTATTTTAATGCTTAATTATTTTAACTTATGATCATACTCTTAATAATAATGATTTTATGTTTTTTCAGAGAAACTATAAAATATGTTTAGATATTGAATTCATATGTGTCATAACTTAATTGAAACAAAATGTTTAGATATCTTTTCTATTATCTACATTGTTAGGAAGATCAATCTAAAAATATAAATTGACAACCAGAATAAGATAATTGATAAAACTTAATTGAAATCAAATGTTTAAATATCTTTTCTACTATCTACATTGTTGAGAAAACTAATCTAAAAATATAAACTAACAAACGGAATAAGATAAAACTTTATCAATTTCCTTGTGACTTGCTATTATTATTATTCTTATTTTTATTATTATTGCTATTCTTTATCCTCTACTATTAAAAATAAACACTTTTAGATGTGGAGACCATTGTGACATGTCCTCTGAGTGATCTTTTGTACGACTCTAGTGGTCGGATCAACAAAGAGAAATTGAAGGATTTTATGCGCGATAAGAGCAAGCAAGTGATTGGTTGGTTCCGTTTCCGCAGAAACACTAGTAGCTTGACTCCAACAATGAGGGACAAGATATTGCATAAGCAATTTGCCTCGCATTTCTCCAGTGTAAATAGTTGTAGGGAAGATTTCTTCCTTACTTGCCTCCTCAACGCGTCCATCTCCGAAACACATGGCACCCACAAGTTCCGACATGTATTCTTAAGGCATAAACGAGGGTTAGCATCACATATTACAAATTTGAAGAATTCAAATCTAAAAGGATCTTATTTAAATTGGCAAAGCAACTAGCCTGCTTGACGAGTAGACTGCTAGCCACTTCATCCAATTTAAACATAGCCAATCTTTAATCTGAATCTTTCTTTTGAGTATTAATGTAAAATTGTCTACAACAATTTTTATATAAACGACTATTTAAGATATAAATTATATAATATAAATCATAGACAATAAAATAAATGAGTATAAATATTTTTATACATTTTGAAAAAAATAAATGCGACTAAAGTTTTTTTTATATTGTACCTTGACATGTGCAATTTATACTTTTAGGATATTTGAGCCGATTCCTTTGAGAATAAACAATTTAGGTGATGATGCATCTAGACATGATGGCTCAGATTATAAGCCAACACCTGTTAGGAAATCTGCACGCTTACCTGATGGGTTCACCGAACTGATAGAATCTTTAAAGTGAGTAAATATTTATCAATGTAGCAATTATTAAATAATTGTGTAAATTATTTTGTATTTCTCAAAATTGAAAAATATTTTTATAATAATTTTTATTTATTGATGTATGAAATCTAATATTTGATTGTCAGAGGACATTTATTTTATAAAAGCATTTTAAAATTGACTTTTGGATTATCTAATATTTCAACATTGTAAAACGATAATTATGTTATTAATTACATATGTATTCTTTAGGTTGGATATGAAGAGGAAAAGTGGATTAGATTCCGCTATGATGATCCAGAAAGCTGCCGAACGGCATTTAATGTCATTGATTCCGAAAGTATGTGAGTCCGATCTGGAAGTAGCTGAATTGGAGAGACAAGTGCGCGAACTGAAAGATAAGATCGCAGCGCAGCGATTGATCAGGAAAATGAAGATGAACGGTGAGAGCTACGAGAGGACTTCTAAAGCAAATAGGGAGAATTGCTTTTCAGAGAAAATCGATTCCTCGACAAAAGACGAGATGAAAATCAGCGATGACATGCGTCTCCAGAAGGAACAAATCCCATCCTGTGTATGTCATCTTAAAAATTTGAATTAAGTATAAAATATCTTAAGGAGATTCTCACTACTTTCTAGTCAATAGACAATTTATTCATAGTAAAACAATTAAAATAATTACTACTAGATTAAAAAAAAACTTACCAGCAATATCTTATGCCATTATACATAATTATTGTTTATTTTTTATGTTACTAAATATTTTTAAAATGACAAAAGTTGTAAGATGCTCATTTGATGTATACGCATCATCTATTTGGCATATATTCTAGCTTTTTTCAAAGAATTTAAATTTCTTGTAAACTGTATGGTCAGTTTAAATGAAACTTACGGGAACAAACTTAAGTGTTTATTTTATAATTATAACGATTTTTAAATTGCTATCTTATACGCAAGTGTCTTAATTTAAAAAAGAATAACTAAAAAAAAATAATTACAAAATAAGGTTATACCTCCAACTTGTAATGTAAAATTTTATAAATTTAGAATTAAATATCTTCAAAATGGTATGGCAAAAGTTAATGAAATTTTTTCTAGATATTATTAATATTAACATTTGTATTACATATATATTATTTAGACTTGTCTTATATTTCATCAAACGCGAGAACCTCCTTAAGTCAATCGCATATTTCTCAATTTATAGATTTTTTTATAAATTTTAAATCGATATTTTTTAATAAAAATTTAATGCAGGTGCAATTTTCTCTACTTTTTAAATATTTCGTTGTTAGATATTACACTAAATTTTTTAGAATATGCAAAAATTGCAAACTCTAAAACAAATGTTAATCTCAATGCACAAAATGTTATCCTAGGCTCAGCCAGTTACTTCTAATAGCTGGACACAGTCCCGCAATACCGCCGCTTGCATCGCTAAAAGCGTTATAAATCAAGATAAAATACGTCGCTCGGGACGTAGCAATCTACAGGAAGATAGCAACCAACAACAAGATGTTATGCAGAACTCCCCCTGTACTAACAGTAGACGTCCCGTTCCGGAAATTGTCACCGAGTCAATTTGCCAAGATAATGAGACAAGCATGGGTAGAGGTAGAGGTCGAGGTCATCCCGATTTCATGCCAGGAATGAAGAAAATACGTCGTAATCCAAACACATCTCAGGTGCATTCCCGAGAAAGAAGCATTACTCCGGAACAAGATTTCTCTGACGCCGAATGTTCTGCTGCTATATCCCTTAGCTCCCCCGTTCTCAGGTGAGGGGCTAGGGGCAAAGAAAATAAGTAGGAAAGAAAAAGGGATAAGAAGATCGTTAAAAATGTATCTTCTTGAAAAATGAGAACTAATTGAAAAACAAGGAAAAAATTTCAGAAAAAAATACTTTTATTTATTTATATATTTAATTAAATGGAAGGAATATATTATAGAAGTTTTTTTAAAGGAAAATTTCTATGAGAAAATTTTTTTTTTTTTTCAACGAAAGAAAAGACTTTTTCTTCAAGTTTTCAATAAACAAAATAAATTACGAATAAAATTTTATTGATGTAATATTTATATCTACATAGCGTAAATTTGTTTTTTTCAATAGTACTTAATTTTATCCCAGGTCTTGCCAGATAAAAAAAGACAGATCTGGACAAATGCAACACAAGGAAGTCATTGGACATTTAAGTGGAGAAACCAAAGCCTGGAAAAATTATGCTTTCAGGTTCTCTCAAATTTCAGATTCAAAAATTCGAAGATTTGAAAGAATCTGAAAAAAATATAAAGAACAAAGATATTCTAGTGTTACAAAAAGTGCAGAATCGAAGGAAATTAAAGAAAATCTAAAAATATCTTAGAAGATAAAAAAATTTAGAAGATAAAAGAATTTAAAAGAATTAAAAGAAATCTAAAGAAAACTGTGTTTGACTTCTTGAGAGGAAAATATGTTTATTTGATGATTAGAAGTGATTTTTGTATCGATTATTCTATTTATAGGTGCCTTAAATTTTGCGAAAAAATTCGAAAATAATTAAAGGTTCAACAAAAGATTAATAATCTATTTTGTTTCTTATTTCATATTCATCATTTGGTTTATATCGTTTATTGTGCCATTAAATATCTATATGAAGTTAAATATGTTTTATTATAAAATATGTAAGCTTTTAATTAATATGCACTGATTATTAAATATATTTTGTAAATAAAGGGCGCAAAATGATCGTTCATTTTGTGCTGTATAAATAAAACAATTGATAACACTTATGATTAATTACATAAATTAATAATATCCTAATTAATTCTTCATCTACAAATAGAAATATGTATATAGCATTTACGCACGATATAAATAAGCAAAATTTTTAATAAATAAGGAAAGCTTTCCATTGTTAATCTCGTTATTGAAATT